CCCCAAAACCCCAAAACCCCAAAACCCCAAAACCCCACTTTGGCAACATATACATTAAATTTAGTGGACAAAATACTTATGGAACCTAACCCAGAACCTCAGGAGGAAGTTAAAACTGTTGGTATGTAATCCCAGCCGGGTTAGAGTTAATGGTTTGTAGAAGGCCCCAGCGAAATCCCTGAAGGACATTCAGTCAAATATTATGAATGGACCGACGATATGACCCAGAAATGTCAAGATGTCATTGATGAAGATGAAAATTACCACCCTGAAGCTGGTAGGTTGTCGTTGTTCATATTTAGGCAAGCTCAAGAAACATGCAGGCATGAATTGGCATGTAAGTACCTTTAATCAGTGATAAATTGGATGATAGTGAAAATAACAATCTTCGTAGATATTTTACTCAAACAATAAAACAAACTTCTTTAAAAACAGACACTACCTTATTAAAGAGTTTACAGAAATGAAAGAAAAATGTGATGACCAAGAAATTGTTCGCCTTCTTGATGCAGGATGTGGAGTCGGAAATGCACTTTTCCCACTCTGCAAGGACCTTCCAAACCTGCACGTAGATGCCTTCGACTTCGCTCTAAAAGCGGTTAATCTTGTAAAAGAACACGAGAAGTTTGAAGAAGAAAGAATGAAAGTAGAACAATGAGATTTAGTCAGAGATGATATCCCCTTTGAAGCAGGAACACATGATTTTGCTATCTTAATCTTTGTTCTCTCTGCTATCTTCCCTGAGCATTACAAAGATGTCATCCAAAAGGTCTATGACCAACTCAACCAAGGAGGCATCCTCTACTTCAGAGATTATGGAAAGTACGATATGGCACAGATGAGATTTGCTAAATAAAAAGACTTCAAAAGTACTCGACAATTTTTATGTCAGAGGGGATAAGACCCTTGCTTATTATTTCACCATAGAAGAAGTTGACGAATTAATGACTTCAGTAGGCTTCAAGAAGCTCTCCTTAGATTATCACTATAAGGAGTTTGAGAATCGGAAAAAGGGCCTGAAAATGCACAGAGTTTGGATCCAAGCAAAGTATATCAAAGAGTAGATTCAATAAAATCATAATTGAACGGGGTTTTGGGGTTTTGGGGTTTTGGGGTTTTGGGG